AATTTCCATTTTAACCATTTTTAAGTGTAGAGTTTGGTAGCATTACGTACATTCACACTGCCAGGCCACCATCACCACCGCCCAGCCCTGAACTAAAACTCTGTACCCATTAAACATGAACTCCCCATTCCCCGCCTCTCCTAGTCCCTGGCAACTGCCATTCTACTTTTTGTGTCTGTACATTTGGCTACTCTAGACACCTCACATAAATCGGATTATACAGTATGTGCCCTTTTGTGACTGGCTTGTTTCACTTAGTATGGTGTCCTCAAGGTATATCCACATTGTAGCATCTGTCAGAATTTTCTTCCTTTTTAAAGGAAGGAATCTTTACTAATATTCCACTGTGTGTTTGTGCCCCACATTTATCTACTCATCTGTTTATAGAAAACATTTCGTTGGAATGATAAGAATGCGTTCACTGGACATGTGCTTGGTGAAGTGAAGCGTAAGGGAGCGTAGACGCACACTGGAAGTCGGGAGCCCTGCTCCTCGGTCCTGGAACTGAGGCTCATCAGCCATGTGGCTTTAAACAAACCATTTGCTTTTTTCTGAGCAATAATATTCCATCTGTAAAGAATGGATACAGTTAGAGTTATTAGGCATGCATTGAAGATCTTTTCCCGTTTTAAAACCTTTCTCTCATTTAATTCTACGTTTCTGGCTTTATGCAATTTGCGTTTCAGGCACACCATAGCTTAGTCATCAATTATTTTGATAAAATGTTCTCCCTTCCTCTTTGACCTAGCTGTTTAGTTTATTTACTTCCCCTCCCCCCATTTATGCAGTGGTCCCTTGTAAACTGAGGGTAGTTTTATTCTCTCTTCATTTTTCTGTGTTTAAATGCCCTTTTTATTACTAGGGCTCTGTCTGCCCAAATGCATTATTTCCTGTGTTGTATAATTATCAGTTATTTAGGTTTGCCACTCCTTGGTGAAATTCAGAATAAAGACTGGCAAGCTATTTTTCCCCCTGATATTTTATTTCATAGCTAAGGAACTACAGAAAAATAATTTAAAAATTCATTTGTTAAAAAGCTTTGAAAGGCGAAACTTTCTCAAATGGGTAATAAGAAGGGAGATTATTAGGAAGAATATATGTTATGCTGAATGTGAATCTTGATCTTTCTGTGGGATGGTTTTATCCTGGCCTTTTGGGAAGGGTGCAGGAAGTGACCCCACCCAATTGGTGGTCTGCTTGAATTACATTCATTAATGTAGGCTCCATGCATTCAGTTGCAGATTGTGAACATTTGGAAACCAGTATTTTTTTCCTCTCTGAATTGCCTTCTGTTTAGACAGGGCTCCTAATAAAACCAGCAGCTAAACCAAGGAAAATGCTCCCATTTTTAGAATGGAGGAGCCATACGACTTAATGAATTAAAGTATGTAATGCAGGCCAAGTAATTCAAACCCACCCATGGTAGAAAGAGTTCTCCAAACTGGCTCCAGCTCCTGTAAGTGATTGCAGGTCCCCTTGTTCAGCCCTATCTTTTGGGTCTCAGATTCGGCTTCCCCTTTTTTTTGAGACAGGATCTGATTCTGTCACCAAGGCTGGAGTGCAGTGGCGTGGTCATAGCTCACTGCAACCTCTGCCTCCCAGACTCAAGCCAACCTCCCACCTCAGCCTCCTGAGTAGCTGGGGCTGCAGGTGTGTGCCACCGGATCCAGCTAATTTTTGTATTTTTGTAGAAATGGGGGTCTCACTTTGTTTCCCAGTTGATTTCCAACTCCTAGACTCAAGTGATCCACCTCCCAAAGTGCTAAGTGCTGGGATTACAAGTGTGAGCCACCGTGCTAGCCAGCTTCCCCAAATTCAAGAGTTAGGTTTGTTACAGTGCCTGTGAGCTGCTGTCAGGCAAAGTCTGCTCTCCCCCTGCTTCTTTGAGATGGGTAAATGTTTGGTTCAGTACTGGGGAGGGCACCGGCTATGTAGCCCTCTCTGCAGGGCCATGTCCCTGGGGGCATTTGGAGACTAGTGAATGTGCCCAGGAGAAGCCAACTGCTGGGCCCCACAGCCTTGGTGTTTGTGGAGGAGAAGTCCTTCCTGGGAACACAGGAGACTGGAGGTCACCCCCACCCCCTCCCAGGTCCCTCCGTACTCTCCCAGGTCCCTCACCCTGCATTTCCTGGACTTGTCAGTGGAGGGAGGGTGTGTGCCCCGGGCTTCTTGGGGATATTTTTTGTGTGTGGGGAAGCCCCTTGCCTCTCTGCGCCTGCCTCCCTTCCCATAGCTTTGTGGTGCAGGCTGTCCTGCCGTCTCAGGTCTAGGCAAGCAAAATCAAGTTGTATTTTTAAGTTATTTAGGTATGAGTGTGGTAGGATAACCCTACGTATATATTCTTTGGGAAAGAAAGGGCCGTACGTGAACATTTAGAAGATGGGTTAGGAAGGAACCTAACCCTGCCCTCTTAACATATATCTGAAGGAGTCAGGTTAAAATCGTAATGGTGCCCTTAACTCACGGGAAGAGCATTCACAGGAGTGAAGACAATGGAAAGCATGCCCGTGGCCCAGGCCGTGGAAGGTGCAGAATGGGAAACTGTCTAATCCAGTAACACCCGCCAGCCTTCCTGGACTGCAGTTGCCAGGCCCCATAACTGCCCTCAGGGTGTGTGTGGCAGGGGTCGGTAGATGGTGGATTAGAATTGGATTCAGCTCTATCTCAAAGGGATTAATGACAGAGTCACAGAAGTTTCTGGGAGGCTGGGCCATGGCCTGCTGTCTGATTTGGACTGGGTTATGGGAGCCAGTCAGGGGTCCCCATTGTTTGATTCCTTGCCCTAGAGCATCCTGAGAAGGCAGGTTAGACCTGGGGTTCCCGAAACATGAAAGTCAGCGATGGTACCTGCTCCCAGTGCTTCCCAGGCCCTGACTCTCATGAGGCAGTCCCAGCTTGGGGAAGTAGAGGCTGGCCTGAAAACAGTGCTGCATCTGCCTGGAACGGGGTGCCATTCAGGGCTTCCCCTTCTTGGCCTTTGGCCTGGGCCAGGAGTGGGGTACTCCTAGCTCCCAGTGAGGCTGTCGCCACCTCAGAAACCCCAGGTCCTGCTCCTGACATAGACCACACCAAGCCCAGTTTGCGGAGGAGGTTGAGAAAGATGCTGAAGTTCTCAAATCTCCCATTTTTTTGAGGCCTCGTCATAAAGAGACCTTGGGACTGCTTTAAAAGATGAAAGGTTCCCACGTAATTCCTATTCATGTCAGAAATGTATGCGGCTGAACTGGTATGTCTTGCACTATAGTTTCCTTCAGCTCATGGGGTCTGAATTTCCTTTGTATGTTTCATTTTTTCAAGAGTTACAATTGAGCATTTAGTCTCCAGAGTCAGTGGATGGATCTGCTTTTTGCCAGACTCTTCACATTTAATATGTAACAGTTTGTTTCGGTTGAGACATTTTGATCCTTTTTGACATTGTGCTATTTGATGAAGAATTTATTATTAATTTGTATTATTTCTTGCTATTAGGCAATTTGATGCAGGATTTGTTTACTGCTTTATATAAGTCTCACTCCCAGCCCTGCTGCAAGATTCTGCGGGAACAAGAAAGTTCCTTTTGTCACTGCGCTGGCTTCTGGCAGGTCTAGCAGTTGTCCTTATGGTAACAGGACGAGGCAGGAGAACTGATTTTGCCCTGGATGGAAGAGGATTAACTCAACTGACATTCTGTTGTCATTTAGCAGGCGGTTAATGGTCACTTACTGGAAAATGTTACTAGGCTCTGCGGTGAGTGTTGTTAGAAACTGAATTACTATGTCTATTTCCCCAGGGCCCTTTTTCCCCTTGCCTGGGGTAGACAGTCAGAGCTGAAGGAAGTGGCACTGTGTTGCAATCATAGTTTCATTGTTCCTTTGTACTTTGCTTTTCAAAAATAATGAAATTGCTTTTAATGGTACCAGAGATTTGCCAGGAGCCCAGGGGGGGTGGTTGTACAGGGGTCTCTGGGTTATTTGTTGGGTAGCTCTGGCCTGAGGGTGCCCAGGGGTGGCCTGTGGAAGGTCTCCAGTAATGTCAGCCTCACATGTGATTAATTTGAGTCACTCTGAACTTGACTTTCCATGAAATGATTTCAAACACCCAGTCACTTTCCTGGGTTTTTTTAGTCACTCACTTTGCAGAGCCTTTGGTGGGCCACAGAGGTGAAGGAATGTGTTTCCAAGTCCAAGCTGGGGTAGAATCCTGGCTTTGCCATTTACTAGCTGTGTGACCTTAGACAATTCACTTAACCTCTCTGAGCTTCAATATTCTTACTTGTTAACAAATGGAGATATGGGTTCCCAGGGGTGGCGGACCAGTGAGATGATATGCGTGGAGACAGCTGGTACAGTGCCCGGATCACTTGCAAAAGCTTCCTCCCTCTCTTCCTTGCCAACCTAAAACTGCAGCAATGGAATGCCCCTATTTATTGGGTAGCAGAGGTGTGAGCTGAGGGAACAGAGGAGGAGAAGAGCTTGTCTATTACTTTTCCTTCCACACAGCACTAGGGTAACTGAATACCAGAGGAGTCCCCCCTTCTTGCGGTCCTCTGCGGACAACTTGTTTCTTTTTGGATGGTAGGAGGCATCCAAAGCCTTTTTTGGGGAGGTTTGGTCTTCTTCCAGGAGACTCCACACTGGGATGGCCACATCATTTCATTTCTGGGTCATGTTTTCAGCCCCTTGGGCCTGCTAGGGATCTCTGTCCCTTCTGAAGTAAATGAAATAATTGTCACCAGCCTTCCACTTAATGACTGTGGCTACTGCTCCTCTTTCCCGCACATGAGGGGAGGAAGTCAGCTGGGGCACTGGGCAGCCTCCCTACCCGATGGCACCAGAGCCTGGATTTTTGAGGTCTGGTGGATTCCTGAGCCTTTGCTTCCTCACTCCGGTCTGGACAGTATCCCTGAGCCCGGCTGGCTGCAGAACTCGTGGGAAGTGGCCGGCTGGCTCTGCTGGCTCCACACACGGCTGGCACACACTGACATGGCTGTGCTTTGCTTCTCTCTCCCTCCTTCCCCCTAGAGTATAAGAAGAAGTACGGAGAGGAACACGGCTCCTGCCAGGCTGGGATAGCGGGCTTCTTCACCGAGGTGGGTGTCTGCTGTCTGGGCACTTCTCTTCTCCTGTGGGTGTTCATTTGCTTGCTTATGTGATTTTAGCAACACTTAGAGGTGGGACTTCTGGAGTCCTGGATACTTGAGCCTCGAGGGAGCAGATTCTGGACCTCACACCAGAGGAGGCTATTTCAGCCTGCCAGGAGGGCACCAGCTGGCCAGAGACCCCTGGGCAGAGGAAGTGGGCTGGCTCATCTGGAGGCTATCCCCATTTGATGATTTCTATAGGAGTCCACTTGACTCTGAGACCTGGGGAAGGAGTCGATTTTGGGATATGTGAGGGAGATGACATTCAGCCAGATTGTGCCCCATTGTTGGTGGCTGTGCAGATACATGAAGCACGTGAGCATCTCTTCCTAGCAGCCCTCTCTCCATGCCTTAGTCGAGCGACTGGGTTTTATCTTTTCTGTTTTTTTTTTTTTTTTTGAGATGGCGCGTTGCTCTGTCACACAGGCTGGAGTGCAGTGGCGTGATCTCGGCTCACTGCAACCTCTGCCTCCTGGGTTCAAGTGATTCTCCTGCCTCAGCCTCCTGATAATAGGCGCCCACCATTGTGCCCGGCTAATTTTTGTATTTTTAGTAGAGTTGGGGTTTCGCCATGTAGGCCAGGCTGATCTCAATTTCCTGACCTCAGGTGATCCGCCCGCCTCAGCCTCCCAAAGTGCTGGGATTACAGGTGTGAGCCACTGCGCCTGGCCTGAGAGACTTGGTTTTACACATAACTCTAACCATTTCCTTTCCCAGATTCTGAAGGACAGGACACTTGCATGATGCTTATAAGCCCGTGCAGTATAGCATGACTTTTGGCCGGTAGCACAGGTTTTTATTATACTTTAAGTTTTGGGTACATATGCAGAACGTGAGGGTTTGTTACCTACACATGCCATGGTGGCTTGCTGCACCCATCCCCCTGTCATCTACATTAGGCATTTCTCCTAATGCTATCCCTTCCCTATCCCCCAGCCCTGCTATTCCTCCCCCAGTCCCCCATCCCCGAACAGGCCCCGATGTGTGATGTTCCCCTCCCTGTGTCCATGTGTTCTCATTATTCAACACCCACTTATGAGCAAGAACATGTGGTGTTTGCTTTTCTGTTCTTGTGTCAGTTTGCTGAGAATGATGGTTTCTAGCTTCATCCATGTCCCTACAAAGGTCACGAACTCATCCTTTTTTATGGCTGCATAGTATTCCATGGCATATATGTGCTTTTTAGGGGCTGTTTTCTCGTGTCATTTTTACTTACTGTAAGTTTGCCCTTCATGTCAGTTCCTCACCTCTCAAACACTTTGATGACCGCCTGCTGGCACTGTCATCCACGTGGTTGTTCAGGCCAAAAACAGAGTACTTGAGTTTACTCCGAATTCATCTGCAGCCCTGTTGTAGCCTCCAAAACTCACCCCAAACATGACAGCTTTTATTACCATTACAGTCGCCTCTGTTATCACCATTGTGCTTCTAGAGAGGCCACCACCATCACCTGGAGGTACACTGGCCCTGAACTGGTCTTTTTACATCTATTATGCTTTCTAAAAAATTGTGGGAAAATCCACATCACATAAAAGTCCCCACTTTAAAGTGTAGTTCGGTGGTATCTGTGAGGTCGTGGTGGTGTGCACCTCACCACAAGCTGGGTGAGAACACTTTGTCAGCCAGCCCGCATCTGTTCTGACTTCTGGGGTGTGCTTTCTGCATACCAGCCTGAGGGACCTTCAGATGAAACTTGTCCTTCTGACTCTGAGGCTTCCCTGTTCATGGAGGACTAGAATCTGAAGCTTCTTATTCTGGCCCATGGACTTGGCTCCCTGAGGCTGCCTCTCTCCTTCCCTCACTCCAGGACAGCAGAGAGCTGGGGGAGGGCGTAGGACATGGCAGGTGGAAGGAAGACGAAGGGCGCTCTCTGGCTTCCAAAGTGAGGGCGCCTCCTGAGTCAGGAGCAAGACTGCCCACCTGAATTTCGGAAACTGCTGTTGAAATCCAGACAGAAGATAGACTGTTGGCAACGTAGTGTCTGATGCAGAAAGCAACAAGGAAAAGGCAGAAAGTCAGCAGTTTTATTATTTTCACTCTCAAACCAATAAATAGGAGATGCTACCCTCCAACCCCCATTCCGCACCCTCAGTGATTCTTACCTAGCTGGAGAATCACTTTATGACAGAGTTATATGCCCTGGGAATGGCACCACCAATCATCGTAGCTGTTGAGGCCAAATTTAAAGATTCTTCTTTCACCTCACTCTCCGACTTCTAAGCCACCTTGCCAGTCCCACCTCCTGGTACCCTCCAAACCTCTAACAATGACATCCATTGCTCTCCACATCCTCCCCCACCCCACAAATCTAAGCCACAGTTTTCCTGCCCCCAGCCCACTGTGGAACCCTTCTGCCGTCCTGCTTCCACCCCTGCCTCTGGACAGACTGGTCTCCACACGGCAGCCAGAACCACCTTTTACAAACTAGAAAAATATCATGGTGCTCCCTTGCTCAGAGCTTTCTGGTGTCTTCACATCCCACTTAGAATGAAATCCACATGCCTCCCCTCAGCCTTCCAGCCTTTCCAGGCCCGTCTCATACCCCGCCCACTGCATGGTACTTCCGTCTGCTGCTAGGACATGCTGGACTCCCACTGAAGGCTTTGCACTGGGGATCCATGCACGTGGCTCCTCGTACACAAGTGTTCTTCAGAAGAGACACTACTGGAGGGACCGCTGGGTCAGAAGGCGCTCAGGTTTGAATTTTGATACATGCGGGCAAATTGCACTTCAGACGTGTTTACCAGTTGACGCTCCCCTGCGTCGCGTCTGTCTCTGTCTTCTCACTCAGACTTCAAATTTTTGTCATGAGAAAACATCTGGTTTTAATGTCACTTTCCCTGATTATTAATGTCGTTTAGTATCCTTTTAAAATACTGACCATTTGTATTTGTCTTCCCGGAAATTGCCTGTTTATGTTCTCAGTACATTATTCTGTTTTGTTGTTTTCCTGGTTTTTAGGAACTTGTTTCGTATTTTCAACCCGAATCTCTTACCTGACACACGTGTTGCAAATGTTTTCATCAGCCTTTGTCTTTTAAGTTTGCCTATGATGTCTTTATCGTCCTGGCAATAGACATGCGCATTTGTCCAAATCTATCAGTCTTTGTCTGTGTGTGTGTGTGTGTGTGTGTGTTTTTTTTTTTTTTTTTCCCCTAGATTCTAAATGTCTGTCTTAGGAAGTTTATTCCTTATACATATTTTCAATATACTTACATTTCTAATAGCATTTTGGTAGGTTGTTTTTAAAAAAGATTTCTATCTTTAATCTTTCTGGAATTTGTGTTGTATGCATTGTATGGTAGAAACTAACTACATTATTTTTCCAAATATATTGTTGGTTCTTCTGATACCGGTTTGTTAAAGAGATTTTCCTCTCCCCATTGAGATGCCACCCGGCCACGTGCCGACTTCACTCTCTTCTTCCGTCTCTGTAGACATCTAGGTTGTGTAACAGCCATGGCTGTCGTTCCTCCTGCAGGCCTGTCTAGTAACATATGACTTGAGCCAACAGGCAGTAGGGAACCACTGTAAGTTCATGGGCAGGCGACACATGGGCAGATGGCAGTGTTGAAAGAAAGGCTATTGGAGTTTGCCTAGATCTTTGGGAGTGGAAGGGCCTAGGGGGAGGTCAGGTAGGAGGCTGTGATGTGGTTCACCCATGAAGCAACAGGACAGGCTAGGGGATGCTGAAGGAATAAAAATGACTGGGGAGGCAGAGAATATGAAGGAGGTGTCAAGGGGCTGGGTGGCCAGGGCGCTGTTAGGTAGAGGAAGCAGGGTTTGAGCCAGGCTTCTGGAGAGTGGTGGTGCCCCAGGTGAAAGGGAGTTGCCTGAGAAAGAACCCACTGGGAGATGTAAACTGCTGAGTCTGCTTTCAGACACATGGAGCGTGCGATGTTTTTAGAGGACGTTTGGACTTAGGGACTGGAGTCCTGCCTGGGGAAGAAACTTAGATTTGGCCCTTGCTCGTGACTCTCTTAGAGGAGGAGTGTGCTTAGTGTGAGGCCTGGGGGAAATGCCTCTCTTTAGATGGGAGGAGGAGCCAGATTGATGGGGGACATCAGAACTCAACAGAGATGTTGACAGAGAGCCAAGAGAGAAAGTAGTCCCAGGAGGGACGTGTCATGTTCGCTGCAGCAGCCGCAAGTCAGGCCGTGGGCTGGGTGGCGGCAGGCAGTGGTCGGAGGAGCCGGCGGGGCAGGGGTGTGGGGGCAAGTCCAGGTGGCTGTAGAAGCTCAGGGTGACCAGAAGCACAGAAGACCTGGTGAAATCCAGGCTATGGGGTTGAGAGCCTGAGGGAACTGTGGGGTATCGGCATGTGCTGGCTGTGCTTACTGTACAGCAGAGTGGGGACATGGTGGGTGTACAGAGTAGCCAGGGAGGCAGGCGGCAGCGCGTGGGAAGGCAGGCCTTCTGGGCGCCACTGTGTCCTCTGACCCCGGCCTGCTGTCTTCGGCCACTTTAGACTTTGGCCTCCGCTTCGGTTCCCAGGCTTTTGGCCTCTTTAAACAGGAGGTCTTTGAACTCCCTGCCTGCCTTGTTTCTGGAACTTCAGCTGTTTGTGGCTGAGCAGGAAGTGTGGTTGAAGGGGCCAAGCCAGCCCGGCTCCCCTCTGCCCTCCTGTTGACCTCATCACTTGGGCTTGCCTTCTGTGAGCTGATGTCCCCTCACAGGGCAGAAAGCACTTCCCATGCTGCACATGCATCTGTGACCTTCTGGACATAGCTATGTGGCCCTAAAATATTTTGGCCTAAGGTACCTGCTTGACCTACAGGTCGGTGACCCTGAGCTTATCAGAGCCCTCCGAGCTGTGGACACCACCTGGGTTTTAGCCTGTCCTTCAGGATTAGAGAGAATTTCCTGACTAGATGAGGCTAACAGGTGGTAGGTACTACTTAGCAGCAAGGGAGGGTTTGGACCAACTGGTCTGACGTTTGCATCTGCTGTGGAGGCCTGGAGACACTTGAGTGGGAGTTTGTTCAGCGCAGACTTCTGTTGTAGATCCAGGCACTCTCCTGCCCAGCTGCTCATGCCAACTTGCGGTACACAAAGGAAGTGTTTGCCTTCTCCTAGGCACTGCCAGACGCCCCAATCCCTCTAGGGATTCTGCTAACAAATGCATCTTGGGAAAAAGCTGCATTGCTTCTTGATGGGATTCCACCAGTGTGATTAGGTGGTGGCGGCCTTTGCTTGTAGGGAAGCTTTCATCTGTGTGTGTGGCATTGACATTGGCTGTTCCTGGGTGGTGGGGAGCTAAGAATTGGTCACTTTTTCCTAGCACTTGAGAACAGCACCAGAAAGATCACCAGCATCATCCATGGTGAACAGAAAAAAACAACTATGTGGGATTTCCGGGAAGGCACTGTTCCCTCCCTTCAGCCTCAGCCCTGAGGGTCGCAGGGTTGGCCCTGTTCTGTTTAGTTTGGACTGAAGGGAGAGGGACATGAGCACTGTGGGGGTGGGGAGTGGTAAAAACAAGAGTTGTTGGTTTTAAAGGTTTTTGAAGAGAGGAGTTACCCTGTCTGTGATGTCTGAGAGGGGCTGCAATGGTGTGGCAGCCATACATTTCTCAGCTTTTATCCTGGTTAGTCTAAATCATCAGAAAGCAACATATCCCATCTGCAGCCCCAATGTCCCAAGGAGCCTTTCAGGCCTATGCCGATGCTCAGAGCTTTGGCTTGTGCAAAGCTGCAGGCGGAGAGAGCTCTGCACTGCGGATACGTCTGGGCTGAGGAGGTTGCTCATTAGGTTCTGCAGTGCCCTTTGTATTATATTTGGACACTGGTTACAAATTCCTTTCCAAGCTCGAGACTGGGGAAAAAGTCTCTCTCCTCTGATGAACTGATCATTTGTGTTTCTCATACCCTTTCTAGAACTAGGCCAGTCACTTATGCAGGACAGATGAGTGTAAAGAGAATGAACAGTGCATGCTCTGCTGTGTTTCCCAGTGGAGTGCAGAAAGCCGTCTCTTTCTATAAAACAGCGAGATACCCCGGGAGCATCTGGCTTACCATCAACAGCTTCCTTTGATGGGGGTTAGGATCTCAAAACCCTAAAATGAAGTGCTCACCAACAGTCATTTCTTGTCTATACCATCCTGAATTATCAAAAAGCAAACCACTCTGGCCGGAATCTAGTAGCTTTTCTTCCATCTGTGTTCCTGTTCTACCCTTTGTTGAGGCTCTTCCCCAAATTAACCATAAAACATACTGTTTAAAGCATTGCTCTCTTGCCTACAGACTCTATCCTGCTCTCTCTCATTTTTTCTTTAGCTACTTCTGGCTTTTGCAGACACTTGCTCCCTGAGAATTCAGTGGGGACTTTATGAATTGTCATCAGAAATTCTAAATCTCTGTGGCAGGATCTAGCCTCCAAGGACTTGTCAGAAGCCAGCAGCTTCTGCCAGTGCATGGGGCTGTCTCTGCAGAGGGAGATTAACCTGGAAAGATCTGTTTCTGAAATACATGTGGTTGGCCAAGGGGTGGGAGGGCAGGGGGACTCTGAAGGCCCAGGGGAGGGTCACGTTGGTTTCAGCAGCGAGAGGCTTGCCCTGCAGAGCGTCTGTTATCTCCATGAGCCTTCATGACCGGCATCTTGGGAGTTTTGTCTATAGCTGAAAGGTTTCCTCTAGAAATTATGCTTATTTGAACCCTTCTGCGTAGAATTTTTTCCTGAAATACCTTGTACATTACCATGCTGTCTTACCCCGAGAATGATCTGCAAAGGGACTTATTCATATTTGTATCTAGTGTGAACTCTGAGATATAATAGTACGTGCTCAATAAATATTGTTGAGTGAAAAATTGATGATTTCATTAGAAAAATAATTCTGATTATTTCTTATTGCAGTGTCGATACTTTAGAAAATATAGGAAATCAAACAGTAGGGATTCCCTGTTGGGGAAAGGCAGGACTGGATGGCAGGGACCTCTGATGGATACGAGCAGAGCCTGCCTTCTGGCTCTACCACAGCCTCTGCACAATGGGAGCTTCGTTTTAATGTTTGTAAAATGTCATCTCATGAGCAGGTTTTGTGTTTTTATGAGATGACTTCTTGTTAGTGTTTAATCATTGTTCTGGAATTTTAAAAAATCAAGCTTATTAATTTAAAAAATTCAATATATACAATAAAATACACTATTTTAAACGTAGAGTTGGATGAGTTTTGTCAAATGTGTGTGTCGTGTCGTGTCTGCCTGAATGAAGATGAGAATATTTCCATCACTTTGGAAAGTTCCTCATGCCCCTTTGTAGATAGTGCTCCTCTACTTTTTTTTTTTTTTTCTTTTTTGAGATGGAGTCTCACACTGTCACCCAGGCTGTAGTGCAGTGGCGCAATCTCGGCTTACTGCAATCTCCGCCTCCTGGGTTCAAGCAATTCTCCCCCCTCAGCCTCCTGAGTAGCTGGGACTATAGGTGCGTGCCGCCATACCCAGCTAATTTTTTTGTATTTTTAATAGAGACAGGGTGTCACCATGTTGGCCCAGATGGTCTTGATCTTCTGACCTCGTGATCCGCCCACCTTGGCCTCCCAAAGTGCTGGGATTACAGGCGTGAGCCGCCGCGCCCGGCCGTGCTCCTCTTTACTCCAGGCACCCACCGATCTGACTTCCATCACTGTGGATTGGTTTTGCTGATTCAAGAACTTCCTATGAATGGAGTCATGATATGTACTCTTTTTATCCCCACCAACATTTGATCTAGGATTCACCCACATTTCCACTGAGTTTTGAATACTGCAAAAAGGTTACATTAGCAGAGGAAGTGTGAGGGCATTGCGCAGATGAAGATAAAAAGAGCAGAGGGAGCTTCAGAGACCAGAATGAGTTTAGAGCATCCCAGGCATGCAGTCTGAAGAGGCAGTGGCAGAAGCCTACTGTGGCTGAAAGAGTGGACAGTGTCGAATTTTGCCTGAGCCCTGCAGTCTTGACAAACAGTCTGGTCTAGAATCTTGAAAGATACAAAGAAAATAAACTTGGGGAACGAGAGAGAACAGGGGATGTTGATTGATTCCCGTTATCTTATCGCCCAGGGGAAAACCCCAGCAGATATCTGTGCTGACTTCCTTGGGTAACCAAATCATTTCTGGGAACTTGGGGTTATCGTCAGCATTGGTGGTGGTTCTGGGGCATGATCTGCTCTCAGGCCTGTTGACCATTTCCCCCGATCTACATGCTGAAGACAGCTGAGCCTCTTGTGTTCTTGAGTCTGTTTGTCTGTTGTTGTTGTTGTTTTTTGAGACAGAATCTTGCTCTGTCGCCAGGCTGGAGTGTAGTGGCATGGTCTCGGCTCACTGCAACCTCCGCTTCCTGGGTTCAAGTGGTTTTCTTGCCTCAGCCTCCCAAGTAGCTGAGATTACAGGCATGAGCCACTATGCCCAGCTAAGTTTTGTATTTTTAGCAGAGTCAGGGTTTCACCACATTGACCGGGCTGGTTTTGAACTCCTGACCTCAAATGATCCCCTCCTCCTCGGCCTCCCAAAGTGCTGGGATTACACGTGTGAACCACCATGCCCGGCCAAGAGTCTGCTCTTAACAGTGATCCTGTCTCTTGCTGCCCATGGCCTCCACTTCCAGTTTGTGTCCTCCCTTAGTTGACCTCTCTGGTTTCTCAGTTTTGTTCTTCCAGGTTTGCAGTGGGCCATAATGATCAGAAAACTCTGTTCTAGAATGTCCCTGAGAAGGTCTTGAATGTGGTCCGGAGGGGATTCCCCGGAGTACTAGTGCATGGTTTCCTCTTGCTGCGTATCAGGTTGGGGGAGTTGTTGGCGAGCCTGAGTCCAGGCAGGTGTGGTATTGCTTGCGGCTTTTCATGAACGGTGTTTCCCAGGATCTGTGGTTGAGGTCATTGTCAGCTGTTTGTCATTTCCGTGTGAGATTGTGATATAAAGTTGAGGAAATGTGTGTGATCTCATCGTGGCTGGAATAGGGGCCTGGCCTGTGGTGAATTCTGTCACTTTGCTCAGTCATCTTCACATCTTTAGTCCTGATAATCCCATCTGTATAATAGATTCCATAATGCTGCTGAATCTGGTAAAATGCGTTTTTGTTGCTTACCTGGGAAGAAAAAATCCTCGGTGTGAGGAATTTCTCCTTTGTTATGACTGTGGTTCTTATTGCACCCCCGCCCTCCCCGCCTCGCCGCCTCCTCTGCTTACCGCTGCATTTCTTGTCGGTAGGATCTGGTGGTGATGGGTGCCCCAGGGTCATTTTATTGGGCTGGAACCATCAAAGTGCTGAACCTTACGGACAACACCTATTTAAAACTGAACGACGAAGTGATCATGAGCAGGCGGTACACCTATCTGGGTGAGTACTCAGAGGGAGCACAGGTAAGAAAGGAGAAATGGGAGTGATTCCCCGCAGATTCACGAATCATTGCTTTATTGTTGGAAAGAGGAGCGAGTTGGCTTTGACGCCTGTCGTTCTCATGACTTAACCTCTTTAGCCAGGGCATCTTCACATCTAGCTCCACACACGGAAGGCAGAGAGGGAAACAAAGGGGGGAACTGAATTAAAACTGTGCATTTTCATTAAAAAGCTGACAGCTGAACCTCCAGGGAAATAAACATTTGATTTTCTCATTTTCTCAGTTGCTGAGGTTCAGATGGTCAGGTACAAATGAGCGTGACGGAGCATCCCTTTGAATGGAGTCCCTGCTTTCTGCTCACAAAACTGGCTGCAAATAGAGAAGAGCCAGAAATTATCATGACAGATGGCAACCTAATGCTGAAGGTTAATTAAAGGCTCAGAAAAATTTCTCTTATTTTCTTAACTCTTTTCATCTTCTGGAAAGAAGATAGACACAATTTAATTTAGCCATCAGGCAGAATGACGCTGGGGCAAGGTCCATGCCTATTTAAGAACAGACATGGGCTGTCTTTGCTTGTGTAGATGACAATTACACGACTCTTTTCTTTAATTCATGCCCTAAATGCTGTAATTCTGGGTTGGAAACGCAGCTAAATTTAGGAAGGCCTAATGATGACACATAGTGCTCTTTCACACTCATGGCACGTCACTTGCAGCGGAAGGCCCTGACTCCGTGTTTGCATAGAGTCGCTGGGAACTTCTTGTTAAACGGGGGTAGGGAGTTGTTGACTTGCCTTTTTCCTTCTAACTATAAGTTTTTTGCCTGGTGTCAGAGACCCAACAATCCTTCTATTCTGGGGTGTTTGCTCTGAGAGGCACCCAGCTGCCTGGTGCTATTTATTAAGCATTTAGCCTATGCCTATAGCATTTACCCTCTGCCAGGCTCTGTGTATTATTTCATTTAATTTCTGAAACAACCTTATGAAGTAGCTATTATTATCTACATTTTATAGATAAACTGAGGAGCTAAGAAGTTATATATCTTGTCGAGGTCACATGGCTCCTAAGTAGCAAAATTGGGTATGAGCCCGTGGTTTCTGAGTACAGAGTCTGAATGCTGAGCTGCCTTCCCTGTGGGTGCGGCTGAGAGGGCACCTGTCACTGGTGCTGTACCTCTCACTGGGCTGGGAGCACCTTGAAGGCAAAATGTGGGATTGTGTCTTACATTTCCCAGACTTGGAGTAGTGCTTGGTGTACAGTAGGAACTCAACACATATTCACTGAATTAGGGGATGAAGAGAGGACAGAAGAAAGCCCAGTTTGGTTGATGGCTTTGGGGTCTAGGACAGCTCCTTTGACGTTCAGGGCCTATGGTTTTTCCCTGTATACACAACAGAGGTCCTTATCTGCTGCAGGATTATCAAGCATGAGTCCAGGCTTTGATCTCACTCAGAATACTCTCAAGTACTGTCAGTCTGCAGTCTGAGAGAAATCAGCCACATGGTGAGGAACAATTGATCATGAGATGATGTCATCGCAAAACTCAAACAACTTATGATGACACTAGCGTTAGAGGGTGATGACAAGTTTGGGGACTGTATGGCAGCCTGTACAGGATTTATGCTGGCCAGAGGAGAGCTTTCAGTCTGCTAGCCAGACTCTCAGAAAGCAGGAGACATTGATGCTAAGCTTGGCAACCTTTTCCTTTGTTTCTAGGTTCCTTTTGCATCCATATTTTTTCACTGACCACCTACCCACCCATCCACCCATCCATCTACTCAACCATACATCTACCCACCTACCCACTGACAGCTTCTTTTGCCTTCTTGTAGGAGGGAGTGTGGTTAACAGCAGGGGCTTTACAGACAGATTGGATTGGAGTCTTGCTGTGTGATCTTAGGCACATTGTGTAATAGGTTTTTCTATTTCCATGTGGGTAAAATATGGAAACAGTCGTGCCTTCTTCATAATGCTGTTAGACTGAAAGAGATACCTAAAGACAAATACAAACATGTTGGTGGCAACTTTGTTTATAATAACTCCAACCTGAAAACAACCTGAATGCCCAGCAACAGAATAAACATGTGACATATTTATATAACGGGACATTGCTCAACAAAAAAAAGAAACAAACTGCTACTTAACGATGTGGATGAGTGTCACAGGTTAGTTATGTTGAGTGAAGTTCTAGAAAAGGCAAACATCATATCCAGTGATAGAAATCAAAATAGTGGGGCCAGGCACGGTGGCTCATGCCTGTAATCCCACCACTTTGGGAGGCCGAGGCTGGTGGATCACGAGGTCAAGAGATCAAGACCATCCTGGCCAACATGGTGAAGCCCTGTCTCTACTAAAACTACAAAAATTAGTTAGTTGTGGTGGCGTATGCCTGTAGTCTCAGCTACTCAGGAGGCTGAGGCAGGAGATTAGCTTGAACCCTGGAGGGGGAAGTTGCAGTGAGCTGAGATTGCACCACTGCACTCCAGCCTGGGCGACAGAGTAAGACTCCATCTCAAAAAAAAAAAAGAATCATGTCTACCTGTGTGGGGCATAAGGGAACCCTCTGGGGCTATGGTTCTGAGGCTACAGCCACTTTCTTGCTCTGGGTGGTGGCTACACGTCTACGCACATGTGTACACATTCACTGAGTTCTATACGTCAGATATGTTTACCTTACTGCATGAAAACTACACCTTGAAAAGAAGAAAACAGATATGTAGTATTTATGTAGTACTTGTCCCAAAGAGGACACCCAGAAAGCCCTCTTTCCTGCCCTAATGTCCTTGTGAACATGACTTTTTGTGGGATGAGAGCCATTTCAGCATGAGAAGGCTGACAGCTGCCATTTTTTTCCTGGTTGTTTATGTTCCAAGATTAGGGGGCATGCTTGCGAAACATTTTCCTCTGATGGATATTTTTCCACCTTCCCTTCTTTCTCAACCCTGTGCTTGGTTTCTGCCCATCCTGTTCAGGCTACGCGGTCACAGCTGGACACTTCTCTCAGCCGTCCACCACCGACGTGGTAGGAGGTGCCCCACAGGACAAAGGCATCGGCAAGGTGAGGAGAAACGTCTGTGGAATAGCTGGGGTCAGACAGAAGAGGGGAGCATGCTGTCCCTTGCACAGGGGTTTGCCAGCTGACGGTGGCCTGAACATCCTACTGGGTGGCTGCTGGGCAGGTGACGAGGAACCCCTGACTGCCCCACTCTGTTTGAAAGTTTCCCTTGAAAGCTCAGTTAGAGTGTGAGTAGTTCTCTCATTTCCTGCACACTCTCATTTGAGGCTTTTCACAGCTGCCTCTGTGTGTGCGTGTGTGTGTGTGTGTGGTGTATGTGGTGTGTGTGGGTGTGTGTG